GGCTTGTCCTGCGGAAGTTCCGGTGAATTGTCTGAGTAGCTGTCTGAAGCATTTACTATGTTTGACGACTTTTGATGAAAATTGTTCGATTCATTTACGAAATTACCCTTCGTTGCATTTTTACTGATAGCGTGAATGCATATCGAGATAATAAGGTCAAACAGCCCATGCCATCTTCCATGTTTTCTCAGAAATTTGAATGTTTCCCAGTACGTTATTGAACGCTGAAAATGCGTTACTTGGTATCCATCTGACATTAAAAATCGCGCCTCTTCACATACTTTCGGTTTATTCTTGAACGGCCACCCACATGAGTTTCTCTGAAGTCCTTGCGTGCTTGTATGTGCAGTGAGCAAGCTTAGGCAATTCCCTCTTTTCCGTAATCAAAGCTATGACATTCAAGGTTTGGCGCGTGGTAATGCACGCTTTTCTTTTGAGGTATTCGAGGCCCCTTTCGAGCCCCAATAATTTTTTTGAACAATATTCATGATGATATATTCATGATGATCTTTCAGGATCTGCAGACATTGCTGGAAAGGACGGAAATGTAGATGGTCAACGAATATCTCGTTATCAGTATGTCTGTTCTCTTCGAGTTTCACTTTTGCAATATGACGCTTATTTTGCTGCTGCCTGCCCATCTCAAGAATTCCTTCTGAGGCTGCTAACATATGCACAATTTCATTTTAAGTTTGTCTTACCATCATTTCCTTTATATTATCTAATCAGCATAATATTATGACTTCAATTCAATAATTCTATGCATTGTTAATGTACTTATACTCCCACAATAGTGTACATAGGTAATTACTCTCAAATTTGCAATATCAGCGTCATCTGATGACATAGTGATAGTTTGCTAGTCTTGCTATAGTACTGTGATAAAAATTCACTTCTTTTTCAATTATGAGTTAGAGTGTGGACTTTCCCTTCATCTCTGCCATTGTTTGACCGATGTTTGGTCACAGCAACATAATCATCACCTAAAATGTAAACAATCAGGAATGCTCGAGGCGGACGTCACACCCGGTGGAGATGGCTCCCTGGATTCGTCACTCATTGATCAAACTCTCAACAGTTCTAGTCTTCCTGTTAATCAGGTTTTTCTTTAAGATCTAGTGGAGACGTGGCGTTTTTAGAAGCACTGTGCCGGGCGTTTTCCGTAGGTCCAAAACATACCACCAGTGATCCCGCCGAACTCCGCGAACTAGGCATTTTGCCAGATCTTCACGGGCTTACCGTGTGCGCTCGTATTTGCATGGTCGCGTAGTTTTTGTATGTTGTAAACGCAATAACTCTTGCCCCAGCGAAGCGCTTTTACGTGCAGCGATGAAGAGTCGTGTGAGGTATGCCTCGCTCCATGCGCGGTAAAAATGTACCCAACTATAGATTTGTTTTTGAAGCAATACGGGTTTGCAAATCTCGCTTTTATAGTTTACCCCCCTTACGGGCGGCTCTGGCGTAATTTATTAGCCAGGAAGTGCGTGTTTTATAACTGCGGCACCACTCGCGTTTGCCATGATCTAACGCAGCGAAAAAGAACAATATCCACTATCGAGGTCGAACACCTTGTAGTTACCGCTAGGCTTTCTTTGAGAGCGCGGAAAAAGCTGGAGAAATACCGTATCAGAACGTAATTTTTCATATCCGTATTGAAGCGATTGCCTCAATGAAGTTGCAGATCGAACTGAAAGAGGAGGATACACCAGAGAGAAGAACGAGCACTGAGTCAGTGCTCGATCGCTTATCCAAATTCCCTTATCAAGTATTTGTGTTATCTGAATACGGGAGGCCCATCTTTGTTTCGTAAGTAAAATTTTGATTGATGTTATCAGTGTTAATGTTTCTGATGTTTTTGTCAGTGATTTTTGTGCATTCGCTATCTTTTAGATGTGGCCAAGAAGACCAGCTTTGTTCTTTATTTGCACTTATTGGCGTATTCGTATCGCGAGTTAAAGTCTGGGGAGATCGCTTGCTACAGTTCTCGTCTGGCGATGTGCACGTTCAGTTTTGTCAGCGATCATCGCTCATACTGTGCATAGGTTGGTTATACTGAG